GTGTCATGTTGTACACACACTGACCGTGAGGTGGACAGGACTGGGTGGTGGCTTACCCTGTTGTACACAGTGACCGTGAGGTGGACAGGACTGGGCGACGTCATGTTATACATGAGTTGCTATAAATCAAAACCAAGTGAACAGCACCCAGCAATAGCTCTTCCATTATCTGCCTGTCCTCCATCTCTTGGGGGGCCTTTCTGGGGTCTCTCCTTTGGCTTTGGGCAAGGGGTTGTGGTGGACATTGGTGCGCTCTTGTCTTCCCTCTGGGGTAGCCCTGGGTTTGAGAATGCTGATGGTACGGTTGCTGTGTGTCAGCTTAGGGAGGAAGCCACACTCTGCCGTGGCGCCGGTTGGTTCTGGGCTCCCACCAGCAGTGGGCGAGGCTCGCAGTGTCTGCTCTCACTGATCGCAGAGGTGAGAACCGGCAACCACATTCCTGGGTTTTGATCTGTTTCTAATGGGTCATGGTGGTGAGCGTGTTTTCATAGGATTGTTGGCCCCTTGAGTTAGTGCTGAGTAACAGTTCTGCATTTTAGGACCAGGAGGTTTCTCTTAACTATTTTAACAAGTCCCAAAAGGTTTTTTCCTTTTAACCCTCAAAAGTGAAAGTTGTCTCTTCCTGGAATTAGATCTACTATTAAGGAATCCTTTTCAGCACACACTGAAGCTGACCTGTGCGGGCTTAGATGTATTAGAAATGTGTGGTTGAGTCCGCTACTTCATTAGACTCCTCTTTTGCAGGTGATACGGAAGGACCCTGCTGACGCTCGCAAGATGAAGAGGGTCGAGCTCCTGAGCCCAGAAGGAGGCCTCCTCTGCACAGATGCATGTCGACCCCGGGCCACCAGGCCAGCTGCGGGCGGGCGGCCGGGCCCACGATGGAAGCTGCTGTGAGCTGCACGCTGGGGGTCAAGGTCTGGTCAGTCATGGTCACAGAGCCGTCTCAGGAGAGAGGCTGTCCAGGAAAGCCTGAAGGTCTAGTGTCTGGGGCTCAGGGGAGCTGTGTCCACAGCATGCCAGCTTCTCATGCTTACGTGGCAGAGAGGCGGTAATGGCTATGGTCAGCCATGGAAAATAGCCAAGAATCTTGTCCACAAGGGGACAGCGAGTTTGTTTCTCACGAGGTAGCTTTTCAGATAGAAGAGGATGACGATGCTGAGCTGCCCGGCAGCGGCCTGCCGAGGATGGAGGTGAGGGCCGTGCCACATCGCCACGGCGGGTCCGAGCGCCGCAGCGGCCAGGAGGCAGACCGTGGCTGCCCGCCCCCGCGCAAGTACAGTGAGGACGAGTACGGCAGCCTCTTCTCCCAGTACAGCAGTACCCTGTACGACGTGGCCATGGAGGCCGTGACCCAGAGCGTCCTGGCCAGCAGAGGCAGCATGAGCTCACGCAAGAAGTCCCCCGCCTGGAAACACTTCTTCATCTCTCCCCGAGACAGCACCAAGGCCATCTGCATGTACTGCATGAAGGAGTTCAGCCGGGGCAAGAACGAGAAGGACCTGAGCACCAGCTGTCTGATGAGGCACGTGCGCAGGGCGCACCCCACGGTACTCATCCCCAACAACAGCGGCGTGCCCACCGTGGCCGCCTTCCCCGCCCCTTCGCTGCTGCTGCCGCCTCAGGCCGCAGACGGGGGCGACCTGGGCCCCATCCTCTCCCCCATCAAGCTTGTCAAGAAAATTGCATCCAAGATCCCGTCCCCAGATCGGATCACAGAGGAGTCAGTGTCTGTCCTGTCTTCTGAAGAAGTCTCCTCTGACATGTCCATTTCTGAGAAGTATGGCAGGGAGGACGTCCTGGTGGGCTCGTCCCCATATCTGTCGAGTGTGCAGTGCGATGAGGCCATGGAAGCTGGTCCTGAGAAGGGTCGGGTCTCCCGGAGCTGCTTAGGCTCCCGTAGGAGGTCGGTGGTCTGGAAGCACTTCTACCTGTCGCCCCTGGACAGCTCCAAGGCCGTGTGCGTTGCCTGCATGAGTTCGTTCTGGGGGGGCACGGACGGGGAGGTCGTCTTTAGCTGTTTTCTGCTTCGGCTGTTGTGGCGGGCCCGCCGCGTCGTGGTGTTGGAGGATGAGGGGGGGTGGGCGTGCCTCCGGTCTCTTTCCGCCCCCCCCCCTGTTGTGCTGCCTGCTGTGTTGTGTTGTGGCGTTGCCTTCTGCTTTGTCTTCTCTTGTCCGGGGGTGGTGGGCGGCGATCTCAGCTTCGTCTTCTCTTGTCCGGCTGGGTTGCGTGGCGCCGCCTCGCTTCATTTCTGGGGCGGGTCCGGTCTGATGGAGGATGAGTCAGTGCTGTCCTCCGAGGAGGAGGCTGGCAGCGTCTCAGGTGTGTCTTCCCCCGAAAAGAAGGCTGGGCCGAGCCCTCAGGGCTTTGTGTGTGGCACGGTGTTCCAGCAAAAGAAGAAGGTCGTGAAGAGGCTCAAGTCGGAAGTGTGGCATCATTTCTCGCTGGCCCCCATGGACAGTCTGAAGGTCGTGTGCCGGTACTGCAGCTGTGTCATCAGCCTGGGCAAGAAGGGGGACGTTGGCACCAGCTGTTTGATGTGGCACCTGTACCGGCGCCACCCCGACGTGGTTGGGAGCCAGCGAGCCTTCCTCGGGGCCAGCCTGGCCAGCTCACCCTACGCCACGCTGGCTTCTGCGGAAGGCTCCGGCAAGCTACCCGACGCGCCAGCCGTGGCCACGAAGGAGAATCAGGGGACGTTTCCCGCCAGCAGCAAGAAGACCTCCAAACTGTGGAATCACTTCTCCATCTGCTCAGCCGACTCCACGAAGGTGGTGTGCTTGCACTGTGGGCGGACAATCAGCAGGGGCAAGAAGCCCACCAACCTCGGGACCAGCTGCCTACTCAGGCACCTGCAGAGGTTCCACGGCAGCGTGCTGGGCGACACTGCCGAGGCCTCTGAGCCGCCCCGCACGCCAGCCTGCGAGGAGCCCAGCGACAAGTTCTGTGACTCGCACCCCGTTGCCAAAAAGATAACAAGTCTCATAGCTGAAATGATTGCACTTGACCTTCAGCCATATTCTTTCGTGGACAATGTTGGCTTTAACAGGCTGCTGGAATACTTGAAACCTCAGTACTCCGTGCCCACCGCATCCTACTTCTCCAGGACGGCAATCCCGGGCATGTACGACAATGTGAAGCAGCTAATCCTGGCCCACCTCAAGGAGGCCGAGAGCGGCGTGGTGCACTTCACGTCCGGCATCTGGATGAGCAACCAGACACGCGAGTACCTGACCCTCACGGCCCACTGGGTCACCTTTACCTCGACGGTCCGGCCCCGTGCCAAAGACCACCACTGCTTCGCGCTCTTGGACGTGTCGCAGATCGACTGTGACTACGGTGGCAACAGCATTCAGAAGCAGCTGGAGTGCTGGTGGGAGGCCTGGGTGACCTCCATCGGCCTGCAGGTGGGCATCACGGTGACGGACAACCCCAGCATCGGGAAGACCCTGAGCGAAGGTGAGCACCCCAGCGTGCAGTGCTTCAGCCACACAGTCAACCTCATCGTCAACGAGGCCATCAAGAGTCAGAGGATGGTGCAGAACCTGCTGAGCATTGCCCGGAAGATCTGCGAGCGGGTGCACCGGTCGCCGAAGGCCAAAGAGAAGCTGGCGGAGCTGCAGCGGGAGCACAAGCTGCCCCCGCACCACCTGCTCCAGGACGTCCCCTCCAGATGGAACACCTCCTTCCACATGCTGGAGAGGCTCATCGAGCAGAGGAGGGCCATCAACGAGATGGCCATCGAGTGCAACTTCCGGGAGCTCATCAGCTGCGACCAGTGGGAAGTCATGCAGTCCGTGTGCCACGCGCTGAAGCCCTTCGACGCCGCCAGCCGCGAGATGAGCACGCACGTGTCTGCCCTTAGCCAGGTGATCCCCATGATCCACATCCTCAACCGCAAGATCGAGATGCTGTCCCAGGAGACCATGGGCATCGACACCATGCTCAGGTCCCTCAGGGAAGCCATGGTCAGCCGCCTCTCCTCCACCCTCCACGACCCCAGGTACATCTTCGCCACGCTGCTGGACCCCCGCTACAAGGCCTCCTTGTTCACTGAGGAGGAGGCTGAGCAGTACAAGCAGGACTTAATCAGGGAGCTAGAAATCCTGAATTCTACCTCAGACGCCACCCCGGTGGCCAATGGCCGTGGTGCAGGGTCCCCACCCAAGGATTCTGCAGGAGAGGAGGACCTGTGGTCCCTTATGGCCAAGATGAAGAGGAAAGGTCTGCAGGAGAAGACCAAGTTACCCGAAGACATGGTGCTTGCCTACCTGGAGGAGGAGGTGCTGGAACACAGCTGTGACCCATTAGCCTACTGGAACCTGAAGAGGGCGTCCTGGCCAGCCCTGGCAGCCCTAGCTGTCCGCTTCCTGGGCTGCCCCCCAAGCATCGTCGCTTCAGAAAAGCTCTTCAGCACACCCACTGAAGGTGGTGGCTTCAGCCAGTCCCGGCTCATGATGGAGCATTTCGAGAAGCTCATCTTTTTGAAAGTGAACCTTCCATTAATATACTTCCAGTACTGAAATGCTCAGTGGAGCCACCGGGCTGAAAACAAAACAAAAATTGTTGCTTGTACGGTATTAGCTGTGTCTGCCACAGGGCCGCCCCTCGCTCTGAGCGAGGCCATGTACGACGTCGGGTCAGGGGCTTGCAGGGCCGCAGGGGGGTCACTGTCCAGCTCTCCACGTTGTGTCTACATGTGCCTTAGTCCTCCTCTTCAGGCCAGATGCTGTAGGTAGGATTTGAGAGAACTTCGCTAGATGTAGCTTGTCTTGTCCATTAAGATGATTAGGTTGTTTTAATTCTAACTGTACATTTTTTAAATGTTAGGAGTTAGTAACTTGTTTTACTAGAATGACAGAAAAGATGTGAACAATTCTGTTGTGTAGACTTTTTTATTCAATTATGTAAAAACCACAAATCAGGTACTGTATCCTAGTCCAGCTTTGCTTTAATTGCAACAGCAGCTTCTGTGGCTGTCCGTGAGCTCTGTACATAGAGGTGGAGTTCAAGCCATCCTTTCAAAGCCGTTCTCACTGCATGCTCTGCAGTCCTCCAGGGGTCAGAGTCAGCGTTCGGAAACAAAACGAGATTGAGATGCCATGTGGAATTTCTGTTCCATGGTCTTGAGTCAGGAAAACTTTCCCGTTTATGTTTTCGCATTCAGGTTTTCCATCATCACTTAACTCAGAGATTTCCAACTATTTATAGTGAATTCCTTAGAAATGTTTTCAAGTCCATGTCCGTGACTGAGCCAGTGCAGAACGCGAGAGGCCACAGCTGAGTTTCATGAAATCTCTAAGCCTCTGCTTTAGTCTGTCCATGCTCTGACACTGTCTGTTAAAACTGTGCACTGATTCCCAGCTTGATCAAATTATGTATGAAATTCTTAGGAGACGTGCCTCCTCCACCCAGGGAGGATAGCTGCCACGTTCTGCTGGTGCCGCCAGCCTGAGCTGTGCTGCTGTAACGGGAGGTCCAGCCGGCGTGGGGCCTTTAGAATCCCCATGACAGCAGAATGAAGTCCCAGTCAACCCTGTTAGCTGTTGTCATCAAGGGCTTTGCTCTCACACCTGGATAAGGTTGCTTCTCTCATTTCAAACCAATGAACTAACCTGGGTGGGACAGGTCCCGTACTTGCCTATGATCTTTTAGAGACATCGTTTTGTTAAAATACTGTACCTATGCTTAATCTAAATTTGCATTGACTATGTTTTAGTGTATTTATAAATGGTGAACTCAGTTTCTGAAATTAAACTTTTTATTTGCCATTTTCTAGCGCTGGTGGACATTGGCCTTTTTTTTTCCCCAGGGTAATAGGCCCACTCTTTGGGGACCAGTGTCCGAAGACCCCATTCAGACAGCATTTCACTCTAAGTCACTTGGTAAGCCCATAGTGAAGCCATGGGTATTGGCATGATGGCAGTGAGACCTCTCCTCTCCGGTTCTGAGTTTTACAGAAGGAGGTCACATGTGCCAGCACGGCTGAGCCTGCAGGTGTGCTGTGGCTCCGTGGACCTGAGGCTCTGTGGACCCTGAGGCTCTGTGGACAGGGCTGCCACAGCAAGTCGTGCAGTAACAGCCTTGCTCCTTCCTCCCCTGAGGCCCCACGTTTAAAATCCACATGTTGTCAGGGAGGCCTCCCCTGCTCTTCAGTGACCAGTGGTCCTGCCTCGCACACTCCATCTCCCTCAGTGTCCACACATGGCCTTCCCCTCTGTGTGTCTTGCCCTTTTGCTCTTTGTACTTCTTTGCTTCTTGGATTTGGAGCCTTCTCATGGGGCCACCCCAGCTCTGCTGCCCCCACAGTGTGAGAACTTTCCGGCCTTGGAGTTTACCTGATGTTCCTCGGTGAGGTGCTGTGTGGCCCTGACTGACCCCTCCCCGGTGCCTGGCAGTTCCAGCCCAGGAGCTGAGGGCACCTGGAGGAGGGTGGAGTTACAGGGGCCTGGTTAGAGAGCACCTGGCCTTGGATAGGAGTGAGTGAGGGCTCTGCTGACCTGGGTCCATCACTGACCTGCAGGCCTGTGTTTTTTTGAGTGGTACATTGTTCCATCTGGGGATGCTGGGCTTTGGCATGCAGTAACTGCTGCAGAGCTGCACTAGGGCCACTGACCCCACAGTGAGCACGTGACCTTCCAGGACGGCTCAGTGTGGGCTGTGGTCCCTGCCCTTACTGACTCCATCTGAACCAGACGCTGGAAAACCTCGGCCTGTGGGCCAGACCTAGCCGTGGCCACTCACTTAGGGTCATCTGTGGCTGCTTCAGGGCTACTACAAAGCTAGGTAGTCGCAGCAGAGACCATGTGACCTTCAAAGCTGGGAACGTAAACCGTCTGGCCCTGTGCCGAACAGAAGTGCTGGCCTCTGAGGTGGTTTGCTTTCTTGTCTAGTTTATGACATGCCCCATGCTGCTCCTCTAGTTGGCATATTGAGTAAAAGCTTCACTGCAGTGAGTCCGTTCAGACTGTTAGAGGTAGAACTGGACAGCAGCCTGTGGACTAGGCTCCCAGAGCTCCCTCGTGTATAAAGTGAGGAAGAAAGCAGTTGTAGGTGACGCCCCACTACCACTGATTTGATGACAACCCGTAGTGACCTTCACACACAGGGTTTCTGTAATCTTTACAGGAGCTGTGGGTG